GTTATCCATTAGAAATAAAGGCAGTGCATGGGATTAACATACATACCACATTTTTGTTCTGATTCATCGCTATTATCCCCACAGTCGTCCTCACCATCGCAGGTCCATGATGAAGTTATACACACACCATTAGCACATTTAAACGAATGACCACAACATTCCTCATCGGAGCTATCTCCACAATCCCAGCGGCGATCGCATACCAAAGTCTTGTTAATACATCGTCCGTTGTCGCATTCAAACATACCTAAATCCTTGCAAGCTAAAAAATTCACCATGCGATATATGAAATAAAATGAAATGAAGAAGAAAAACAAGACCAAGAACAGAATCAATTTCTAAAATTATTCAGTTAAATAACCATCAAAGTGTTTAGTTCAGTCCAGTCCAGTCGAATAGCGCTTACGCAAAAAAAACTATGGAGATGGACCTCTGTATAGTATTCTGCGGTTCAGTGTAGTTTGGTTTATAGTTTGGTTCTGTCGACTGTTCTGTCGACTGTTCTGTCGACTGTTCTGTCGACTGTTCTGTCGACTGTTCTGTCGACTGTTCTGCCGACTGTTCTGCCGACTGTTCTGTCGACTGTTCTGTCGACTGTTCTGCCGACTGTTCTGTCGACTGTTCTGTCGACTGTTCTGTCGACTGTTCTGTCGACAGTTCTGTCGACTGTTCTGTTGACTGTTCTGTTGACTGTTCTGTTGACTGTTCTGTTCTTTTCTGTCCAGTCCCGGTCCAGTTTAGTTCAGTTTAGTCCAGTCCAGTGTAGTTTACAGATGTATATAATAAGTTTGCTTGTGAAGGCTTACTTGTCTTGCACTCTGAAGGTAATTCATCAGAACCATCAGGACAATCAGCTTCACCATTACATTTCACTTCGAGTGGAATACATTGCAAGGTCGTACGACATTGGAACTTGTCAGATGGACATCGTGGTGGCGTCGTTGGCACGACTGAAATATAATTGAGTTGAAGTCAAATTGCAGTCAAATGCACATGTATTCAAAAGGTTGTAACTCGCGACCCAACAGTCCAAACAACATGAGATTTTCGCCATAAACTACCTCGAGTATAAAAATTTCAATTCTTCATTTTTTGTTTTCTTGCGTTTCTCACTCATTGGTGAGCGGATTTCCCAACACGCTATTGCCTATTTGATGGGGGATCCGAGGTACCTACGATCATGGATAATAAAATAAATGGATAGGTCTCTAGCTGACGTAAGCAAAAACAACCTGGTTGCAATCTGTGACGTCACGCGTATTGCAAAGTTCTCGGCATTTTTGTTGTTTCGCTATACTTTCCGCTTTGAAAGAGTAATATTGAAGCATAAACTGGTCTAATTGTTTTAAAAACATGCCTAAGCCACGACAAAGTATTCAAGGTAAATGTTTTTCGTCTTTGTTTTGTATTTTTTTTACATTTGTAGCTACGAAATTGGCGTCCTCAATTTTAACGAAGTTTGCGATGCATTTTTCACTGTTTAGTGCTTGAAATATTTGCTAAAATTGATTGGGAATACTTAGAGTTTTCATCGTAGAATGGCGTGGTTATATTTATTTGCTCTTTGACTAAAATGTTTAGCTGTATTATTGCTAAACATGCCGTTTTTGAGAATTTGGTTTTCAACTAGGTTGAGGCATCCAACCACGACATCAGCCCATTGAAAACATTAGGTCACGTCAGCTAGTTTCCTATCCATTTATTTTATTATCCATGGTCTAACCAATGTAAAGGTACAGTAGCTCTTTCTCCTCAATTACTTTAAGGTTACAGAACACCTTTGATTGTTAATTTTGCCTAAATTTTTTTTATTCGTTTCCATGAAAGCATTAGACTAGTTCTACTATCTGACCAAGTTTGAACGAAAAATGTTGAAAATTCGTAGAGTTATTTAATAAAATACATTTCGCTTGCAATAAGAAAAACATTGAAAATGTAATATTCAAATTCAATTTTCTCCCGAAAAAGTTTACGGTAATTTCTGATTTTCAAACGAGTTGTGCTCCTGCGGGTTTTAACCAATTTTTCTCAAATTTTCACAGGACATAGCTAAATACGTCAGTTTCAAAACTGTGTTCGGCTTTTTCTTAATTTTGGATATTTTTACAATAAAGAGCAATTCACTCAAACAATTCAGAAATATATTGCAGTCGTCAAAGAAATCGCCATATCAGCGGAATGACGAAATAAACAAAAATTTCCGAACACACTTTTTTAGAACAAGTATTTTACTGTATAAAAATGATATTTTCATAAATATAACAGCAGGAGCACAACTCAAAAGCGTAACGGTACCGCGATTTAAGATTTTCCTGAATAATTCTTACATTATTTTATTGTTTGTTAATTTTACAATTTTATCATATTTTGCATGCACTGGAGAACATTTGGTGAAAATTTGATGAAAATCGGACTGATATTGAGCGCGCAGCAGCGATTTTCCGCAAAACGCCAAAAAGGGTGTCCTGTAACCTTAAGACCTTAAGTAGAGGTCCGACCAAGGATTGAACCTGGGTCACAGAATAAAGACATACAGAAGTGTATCTTCTTATTAAAAGTGCGTAAGGGATTTTTTCAGTCCGCCATGTTCTTAGCAAGTGCCCTAAAGAGAGGCAATCACCCCCCTGAAAACATATTGAAAATTTAATATTCCAGGGGGGTGAATGCCTCTCTTTAGGGCACTTGCTAAGAACATGGCCGCCAGCTATTTCGGT